CGCTGCCTGACAGCTCTGCGGGGCAGCGCCAGCTCGACGAAGGAGACTGCCCGAGCTAGTGGCCCCAGGTCCCATGGGCATTCCATGAGCTTTGGCTGCCCAGCCTTGAACCGCCCCCCCCTCCGGGGGGCCTCAGTTTCCCTCCTCTCTAAAATGGGGATAATAATATTTCTGCCTTTCTCCTGCTCTATGTCTGCCTCGTCTGTCCAGAGTGGGAGCTCTTCTGGCCGGGGCTGGCTCTCGCTCTGAGAGGGCACCAGTTTCCCTTGGGCAGGGAGATCCAGCCATACAGAGGGTGCTAACCCTCCTCCTGCCCCCCCTCCCCGCACAGGTGCCTCCTTCCCCAGCACTGTCTCATTCATTAAGCAAAACAAACCCGTTTCCTGCCAGCTTCCTGTCTCACATGATGGCATCTCGCAAGGAGGGGTCTGCTGAGAGCTTTGGCCCCCACATCCGAAGCCACGGGATTCACCTGGGGCAATCCCTAGAGAGGCCGAGTGGTCTCCGTCTCCCGCCTCAGCCTGGGGGGTCACGACCCACCAAGGCAGTCGCAAGCAGGGTCCTCACCCTTTCATTTGGTGTCCCTAGCCCCGAGAGTTGTGAGCAAACCCCCAAACCGCTGAGCGAAGCCTGCCTGAGTCTGCAGACAGCCTGGTGCCAGAGCGCTAAGGCAGGGCTGTTTGCCGGGCGTGGGGGAGGGATTGTCACCTTCGTTGGCAGCCCGTAAGCTAAGCAAGGGAAGGCATTGCCCTCCCAAAACTACCTACACTCCCTGGCCGCTGGGGATCAGGCTGGGGTCGGGTGTGTTATGGCGCCACCCGGAGTGGGCGGGGACATTGCTGAAGGGGTGTGGCCTGATGTGGAAGGGGCGGGGCTGGACCCATGGTCACCTTCCAATAAGAATCAGAGACTCAACATCTGCTGCTGAATGGGGGAGGGGATCCGGGCCAGATGAGGGGGAGTACTGGCAGAGTGAGGGTGGTGGGGAAAAGAAAGTTCCAGTATAAGACCCACAGCCTTTGAGAGGGGCCATTGCAAGAGGCTGTAGTGGGCCTTGCTTTGGTTGCCCGTGGTGCTTATCAGCCAGCTAGGGTGGCATTTCCCATCCCTTTGCCCCCGGCTGGTACTAAGAGAGGGTCCAGGTTGCAGGTGCTTTGGAGGACAGGGTCAAAATTCAAAATGACCCGGACAAACTCAAGAAATGGTCTGAGGTAAATAGGATGAAGTTTAATAAGGACAAATGCAAAGTGCTCCACTTAGGACGGAACAATCCGTTTCACACACACCGAATGGGAAGCGACTGTCTAAGAAGGCGTCCTACAGAAAGGGATCCAGAGACCACAAGTTAAGCGTGAGTCAACTGTGACGCTGTTGCAAAGAAATCAGACATGGTTCTGGGATGCAATAACAGGAGTGTTGTGAACAAGACACGAGAAGTCATTCTTCCACTCCCTCAATTGGAATATTATGTCCAGTTCTGGGCACCACATTTCAAGAAAGAGGTGGAGAAACTGGAGATGGTCCAGAGAAGAGCAACAAA